GCATCGGTTTACTGTCTGTTCTGTATATATGTTACAGTCAAGGATTGTGGATTAGTTGGGCTTTTGAATGTCTTGTACCTAAATTATATGTCGATACAAACTGAGACACTCGCCTTTTTCTAGATTCATTTCTAATCAGTTGTGGGCATTGTCGCTTTTTGGATCACAAAAGGCACGGATGATGGATGCGTGTCATCTAATTATGCTGTTTGGCTTGAATTTCCATTATGATTTACTGTGTCCAGGGCTTTGGATTCCTTACTGTCCCCCCCATCCACCACAAGGATGAAAATTCACATAATCTTTCATTTATAACGTTTACACATTATGACGGCATAGAATGTAGCTCCAAGAAACTGGTCTTCCCATTATTGAAGAAATAGGATCAGCTAACAGCCGCCTAAAATTCAATAGCTTCCCACGAAACAAATCCAAATATCAAAGTTTTACAAAATTTGAATGGAAAACATGATTATACTCAGATGATGGACACAAATCTTTAAAAAGAACGGAACTTTGAGCCAGCACTACGAAGAGAGATTTTCCCCTTTTTTATGTCACTATTTTGAAATACAGTTTCAGTGTACAACATATAAAGAATTATCCCAGGATCACCATCCATACTTGGCTTGTGTTTCAGCTTTTGTGAGGAAGCCTTTTGAACGTCGCTCTGCAAGTTCCATCTCCTTCTGCCTCATATCAAAGTATAGAGAACCAATCTGATGCTTCCTCTTATGCAGCTTTGTGGGCTTCCCTTTAGTTGAAACAGGCTGAATGGAACAAACACAAATAAATATGTCAATGCATAAACTAAAACAAATTAGTATATATAAATATGTCAATGCATAAACTAAAACAAATTAGTATATATATACATATATACATATATACATAATCCAAAAAAATAGTAAAGCAGTCTAGTCATTGCCGAAGATGAACAAAACGAATAGTGATTCAGACTTCCTTTCTTTTGAAATGGAACTTGAAATAATGTCCGATTGAAAAGTAGACTGAAGCACTTTCTAAGTTTCAAACAATATCAAGTACTATGAATCATGCACAAGATGTACTATGTGCTCAATCAGGCAGAACTAAGCAACAAATAAGCAAAAAAGAAAAAGGGCAAAAAAACATTGAACCAAGGAAAATGACAGAACACCCAAAAAGCCAGTAACATACATAATTATATCTTTATTTTTTGAAAAATAGTTATATAAAATTCTCTATGCAAACAGCCTCAACAATATTTTCATCTCAACATGATCCCATCTTCTGACACCATAATCTCATTGCTTCCAATCTCGGGGAATCATGAGATACATAGAACTTCATTAAAATGATATATCAACTCCTCATGATGTTTGCAAGCACATTCATTAGGGTGGAGGTTAAGGATTGTTAAGATCTTAGCAAAGAGTATGACCAAAAAATTTCTCTAGGGTGGATTTTGATAATTCAAAGTCAAGTTAGGAAAGGGTCCTACTCAGTGCTTGCCGAGTTCCAATGCAGTTATAGAAGAATTAAAGTTAAAACCCAAGTCCACCTATGGACCCAAGTTCTGCAATGCGCTACTTTAGACCCCAAACATGCTCTATCAGTTTGTTAGCAGATATCAAAACAATACAGCTCTAAGCCAGAATAATTCAACAAAGTAAGTTCCACAGTCCTGCCAGTTCTTCATTCTAAGGAAAACACTCTAGCCTTTATATTGTCTGATTCATGAGAAGCATCATCTTCTGAGATTTCCCATGTGTAAAGCTTCTAAATATTAATTTAAGCCATGCTTTGGAAGGCTGCCTCGGTCTTTTTCCTTTCTGAATAATTTACACATTTTGAGCTAACATCAGTCTTGTATTTGACCATTATCCTGTATGATTCTTGAGTGACATGTTTTCCTCTCTTAGTTTTTCCTTTCAATTGATAATAATCCTTCTCACTTGAGAGTGAGAAGATGGAGAGAAAAAACAAGATTTTTTATCTATTCAATGCCAGTTAAACACGTATGTCTTGCCAAAATCGAGTTGACAGTAACATGACCGTTTATTACATGTGTTATAAGGTCATGCCACTTTTGGCTTCGTGTTGTAATAATCAATCCTAACCTGCTAATTTTCTACTGTATTCATGTCATGTTACCTAGTATTCAAAATTATCACCCCATTCCAAACATCTCCATTATGAAAATGGATTAGATTACATAAAACCAAGGCAGCAAGCTAATCCTATGATAGTAATATATCTCAATGGAAATTGACAGTTCACAGTTCCCACATCCCATTTCATAGACTTTGTTCCACTGATATGACTTAGTGATCGTATTGCTTTTTCTAAAGTACATGCAAAGGTCATTAAACTACCAGGTTATGTTGTCCAAGAGTAATGCACGAAAAGTTTGATATACACAAAAGATAACTTATATATAAAGTGGAACTTTAGTCTTTTTCATCAAGAATGGTTCTCAAAAGAAAAAAGACTGTTTCTTATGACTCTTATCATCTTCTTTAATGGAAAGAATTTAATAAACCGTTTCACAGAGTTTCACAGATATCAAATTCTTCCTAGAAAATTATCAATAACATAAAGCTAAAGTAAAAGATATATCTCACTCAGGTTCATAACACTGGACTAACTGCTAATAATTTCAGTATGCATTAAAACGTAGCAAAACAATGTCTTGAGTTCTCAACGTTATAAATGAATAAAAGGATGCAGACCAGTTAATGAAAAAAAATCAAAATTCATAATCACTATAAAACCAAATGATCAAAAACAGCAAGAACCTATAAGTGGTGATACCTGATAAGAAGGCCCAAAAGCTATTCCGGTTGACTTGGCCTGGTCCTCCCTTGGCCGATTCTTCATCAACTCGTCCTGCTTAACCTCAACTATTTCAGTTGGCACCTCATTCCTCCCTCTCTTTTTATTCACTTTAATCCCACTTACATCTGTTCCTGGAAGCGCCAGCGCTGCAGTTTCAGACCCACCAACCCAATCATTCCCATACTGCCCATAACCACTATAACCAGCATTACTCCCATAAACATCATAACTACCATAATTTGAAGCATCACTACCGCTAATTCCTGCCTGTAATTGAACCCCAACATCCACATGTTGATCAATGCCAGATTGGTAACTCTCATAACCACCATAGCTTTCATAGTTAACTGCATTTTGATCAATACCAGATTGGTAAGTCTCATAACCTCCATAGCTTTCATAGTTAACTGCATTCTGATCAATACTTGATTGGTGATTCTCGTAACTAGCAACATTTTGATCCACCCCTGCATCGCTCTTCACTTTAGAACCAACTGATTCCGTTTCAAGAATGGCTCTTCGGCCCGAACCCAAACCCGAACTCGCACCCAATGTGGCGGAGTACCTAGGCGCTGGAAGAGAAAATATGAACTTCCCGGACGATGTTTGAGCGGAGGATTCAGACGCTTTTCGCCTTCGCCTTTCTTCTTCTTCATCATCATCATCGTCATCTTCGTCGTTCAATTGGGACGACTTCATCGAATAAGAGCTAATGGGAGGCTTGAATTGGACGACCCTTTTAGGGTTTCGGCCTGAGGATGAGATATTGGTAATGGGTTGATTTGGGATTTGGGATTTGGGTTGAGGAAGCGTGGCGAACAAGGGTTTGGAGGTGGGTTTTGAATCTTGGTCTTCATCATCGTCGTCATCATCGTGACGAAGATTTGATGGTTTAGTTTGGCTTTGTTTCGGTTGGGGAAGGGACTGGAAGAGAGAGGAAGTTTGGGGTTTGGGTTTGGGTAGAGAAGAAAAGAGAGAGGAAGTTTGAGGTTTGGGTTTGGGTAGAGAAGAAAAGAGAGAGGAAGAGGAAGAAGGTTCAGAGCTGGGTTTTGAGGGCAAAGCTGCGGGTTTGGGAGGTTGTTGTTGATCTTCTTCTTCGTCAGAAGAGGCGTAATTAGCTAGCAGAGAGTCCATGAGAGAGCGAGAAGAGAGAAGAGAGAAGATGAAAGAGAAGAGAAAAGCTCTGAAATTTTTGGAGTTGAAGAATTTTACGAACGGAATGGGGGATGCTCTGAAATTTTGGGGTTTAAAAACAAAATTGTCCGGCTTTAGCACCAACTCTCATAATTCATATGGACTTTTTACTATCAATAGTCCCTCAACTTTTTAAAAGTTTTCATTTTGGCCCATAAATTAGTTTGCTCTTTGTTGCCATGCCAACTGCGTTTATTTTAGGACCGGTCTTAAGTTTTTGGAGGTCCAGGACGAGAGACTACAAAGAAGTCCTTTTGTATATATTCATAGTTTCCACGTGAAAAAGAAAGACAAGTTTTTCTAAATTGATTTTGGAGTGAAATCTCAACTTTCTTCATAATATTAGAACGGGTTTGCCCACTTATGAAAGCCTAATGACCACACAGGCTTCACGTCACCAATATGTGTTTTCTATTTGTTAGGCTTGAAAATTCACCACATGTACAGGGGAGTGTGAGAATGTGAAGGTGAAAAATGTCCCACATTGAAAAGTTGAGAAACCCAACAACTTATAAGGAGTTGGGCTACTCCCCATGGCGAATTGATTTTGGGTAGAACCTCAACTTCCTTCATATTTTCTTTTTCCCTTAAACATAGTACTTTAATTCAAAATTACAGAGTAATACCACATTTGTATTCATACCCTAGATAATAATCCTCAATTTTCCTTTATTACATCAACTTTCTTGTTTTCTCCTAGTCCCAGCCCATGGATAAAATTGATTGGACCTAAATCAGACCCAAAGTGTTAGCTGAACTAATTGTGCGGGGCTTGCTTTGTGGATTCAACCCAAGACTTTTGAGTGTTGCAGGTTGTGGGCTTGCATTTCTGCCTTCTTTTTTTTCTAATTCTCTTTTCCATTTGATGTTTATAATTGGTTAAATAGTCTTACAAAAGGGGTTTTCTTTGAGCATTTTAGACAACCAATTATTCAATTCAAAGACATGTTTGTTACAACATGATCATGCAATTATTTAAAACTGCCTTTGAACCCAAAAAAAACTATGTTAATTTTCTCAGAAGCTAAACCAAGACCAAAAGGAAGGCCTTTAATCAAGGTAAAAAAAAACCAAATAAAGAGAGATGACATTTCTGTAAGAAGAAGAAGAAGAAGAAGATGGAGATGGTGACAACCAACAAACAACACTAAACAGCAGTGATGTGAAAAATGGAACTTCATTCATGGATCAGTTTGTTGTCATAATTATACGCTCATGGGGCTTTGTGGATCATTCAAAGCTGCAATGGCTGTTTCAATTTTAATCTTCAAATGATCTTTTTCTTCTTCATCTGCCTGCCAAAAAAAAAAAACCACCAAATTCACAAGTTAATTAAAATCAATTAAAGCTCTATGAAGACAAAATTAATGACGTGTAATACGTCTTAGGTGGCCCGGCCTCATCATATCATACGATGATTTTTTGATAAAAAGGCGATAGAATTTTATTATATGATGATGATGATGATGAAGGTGACGATGCTAATAAAACATTTTTGTGTTTGGACATATGGTAAAATTCTAATTTCATGCGTGGACAAAACTTAACATCTTTAAAACATGACTCATTGAAAGAATGATCACAATGGCGTCATCACAAACATAAAGTATTCGAAGCGTGTTTTGATTATTTTCGTCATTTGCCACTTCCAGAAGTTGAATATATATACGAACAAAGACAACGGGGAAAAAGACATGATATTCAAACAAAACTGAGAGAAAATATATAATAATAAATAAATAAAAAGTAAGAGGGGAGATGGTGTGGACACAGAATCATAGTTCTTGTTGCACCAAAATCCATTTAAAAATTTTATAAAAAAAAAAAAAAAAAATTGCGAAAGGAAAATTAGGAGCATAAATGTTCGGAAGTAACCATCATACTTTTAAGGCGTGTCTTGCTTTTGCCCTGGAGAAAAATAAACTGCAACAATAATTCATGTCACAGAAGATACAACTTGGGACCATTAGCAATGTTGTGGCTGAATATTCAAGGATTGGGAAACCTTATCCACCCAGTGGCGGAACTAGGAATATTCAAGAATTTCTTCAAAAATCAGCCTAGGCTATAGCCCACCATAGCCTTGTGGGTGGTTCCGCCAGTGTATCCACCCAAGACATACACAAGAGAGAAAGCTTTCAACACAAAATGTACTTAACATATGATTTTGACACCATCCACCCCTTTTCCTCTTTCCTACTTTGGCGGCTAACCTACTAAGTTGGACGTTCAACATTTTCGATCACGAGACTAGTATACATGATGTTGATATGACTATGCCTTAGATTTTTTATACTTACTTTCATATGTTCCGTGTGAATGATTCTCGATCCAAAATTAAAGGGAACTCTATGTGAATTATCGATTGAGAGTCAATTGTATGTTCCAACAGTATCATATAGTCAAAAGTCTTTTGTGCCAAATATCGCGTCACAAATCTAAACCAAGAGGAACTTAACAAGCAACCCATCTAAAGCAAAATTGGTAGTTGTGATGAACGACAAAAACAAAAACTAGTACCAAAAATTCATAGTGGAACATCATTATTATATGTTAAAATAAGTTCACCACAAGGTCTCCAAATTTGTCCAACCATCCAATTTTTGTTCGGTTGCTGGTATTTTCTAGGAAACTTTACCCATATGGGAAACATGTTTCTTTGTAACCGTTGACCAAAGCTTATCCACTGACCATTGACCATTGACATCACACTTCCACAACAATTTCAAGTACGAGATTTCCTTTTTATTGGCTTTGGGAATAATTGATGTATTCAGCTTCCATTATCAAACATAAAAGTTTTTAAAAAAAAACCATCTTATTGAAAAAAAACAAAAAGTATTTCACGGACGTACAAGAAAACTCGGTTCGATTTCCAAATTTCTATATCTAATAAAAAAGTGCGTTATGGAAATTTTTATATAGATTTTACTAGGAACAGTCGCCCGAACAATGTGCTCATTTTCTGAATTACCAAAATAAAAGGCGATTGACGAGGAGGAGATGAGAGCAAAGAGAGGTGATGAAAATGAAGCTAGAGCAAAAAAAGGGAAAACATGTTAAAGAGAAAATCCAATCCAAATGGGGTCGTTTCCTCACTTTTGTTCCTCGACTGGTATTATTCGGACACTCTGGATTACACCAATCAATCATTGCCCTTAGTAGCCCGTATCATGTAATGGATCATCCACTTTAGTAAAAGTGCTCTCCATTGGGTTCCAATTCTTGTGCCTGTGGACCCTCAAATTCTACCTCTTTATTATTATTATTACCCATTATTTTAATCAACTAATTATTCTTGTTAGTTTGATTAAATATAAGTCTTGTTCTTCATTTAGTTCAAATGAAACTTAGTTTCCTTCTTTTTTTGAAGTTCAAATTTGTTTACGGGTAATACTTAATGAGATTTTTCCATTTTTATACGTTTTCTGACAGTCAATGTGTACTTATTAAACATTATAAAATATGGTCAAACCCAAATACTTAAGATCCGAAATCGAAACCTACTACACACGTAAAGCCCTTGATTTTTACCCAAACCCCTCTTACTTTAGATATTTAAAACATTTCAGAAATTAAATTTAGTCACTAATGTATAAAAAAGAAGGCCCTTTGTTCTCATTCTCCATCTTAAATTCTTGAGAGCACCCTTTTGGGACCGTACCAATCACATGTTGTATTTGGTATGGTGCCTAGGGCGCATATGGAATTAAACCACGCGACATTGCCGCAAAGTCTTTCCATTTTCTAGTGCCAACCAAGAAACCCAACACTAGAAATATTAAACTAAATAAAGGATAAACTCACCCCCCAAAAAAATGTTTAATTAAGTACAAGTAAGAAGTAATTAAGTAAAGTGAGTTTAATTACCTCAATGAAGACTGTCTTCAAGACTCTCCCAGAGAAAGCAGTAATATTTGCTGTAATGATTTTGAGCTTCAAAGATTCGAAGACCTCACACAATTTTACCATTGTGTCCGTTCTTTTGCTGCATGTCAAGCTAGCCACCACTGTCTTTTCCCCCATATATGTAACCCTAAGCTGTAAAGTGTAATACAAAGACCCCGTTAATTAATTAATTAATCAATGGATTACTTATAATATTACATTATTATATAGTTTTAAAAAAGAATAGTGCTATTCACACACCCTCAAATTGTATTATACACTCTTCTAGAAAGTGCAAATGACGTTGTCATATAATGACAGTATACTTGCAGTGCTCCTTTGAGACAAGTGCATGAAGCTTTCGGGAGAAAAACTTGTGTGAAACGGGGATGACATTGTTTCGCTATTCACAGTCAATTACGATATGTCAAATAGCGATACAATGCTATCCCGTTGCACACACAAGTGTTTCTCATATGGCGATATATTTAATTGATTAGGATTTAACAGAGAATGATTGACTTACTTCAAGCACTTCAATGGTGGAAGTTCTTGATCCTCCGGAATCATAGAGCTGATCAATTTTCTTCTTCTTTGACCTCAACAAGACTGGTAGCTCTTGATCAAATTCAGAACCCAGATTTTTCTTTGATCTCCCAGATTCTAGCTCCCCTATCTCTGTCTGAATTCTTCTTTCTTGTTCATGAAGCTCCTGGATGTAGTCAATGGCGTCTTTGATTATAGAAGCCTTATCCATCTGTACCCCAAACCCAACAAACCAACCAAATTAAAAAAAAATCCCAAATCATCATGAACACTTTTTTTTCTTCTTCTTGAAAATAAAATAAAACAATGGGTCATATATTAATATTTGATAATATATATATTATAATGGGCAAGCAAACAAGCAAGCAATAATTAAGGAAATAATATTGTATGGCCAAAACCTTGCTTATTTTGGGGACCACTGCTCTAAGAGCAAAGAGCCTTTCATTGAGCTTCTTCCTCCTGTTCCTCTCAGACACAATGTTTTTGGAAGCCATGGAAGAAGCTCCTCCATCTGGTGAGCTGGAATCATAGTACCCAGAAAAAGCCTCATCCAATCCCCAGCTGCCATGACAAAAATTGGTGTAAAAAAACAGCAGATACATATATATATAAATTATGAAAGCTTTTTAGAACACTAAGAGAAATTAAGCTCCATAATTAATAATATATAAACCTGTCAAGCTCTGCAGATTGGAGGAACATATTGGTTTCCCAGTAATGTTTGTACTCATCACCAATGTTGTCCATGACTGCACAGAGAGTCTGATGAGAGAGAGAGAGAGAGAGAGAGAGAGAGAGATGGGATTTGTGTTGTTGATGAAAAAGCAAAGGTACTCGGGTTTTTTAAAGTCACAGTGAGGGGGAGGGAGTGAGTTGAAGGGATTTATATAAGTGGGGAAATAATCTGAATTCACTCACGTGGGAAGAAGGAAGCAGGAAGCTATGATGCTTCTTCCTGGAATGATGTGAACCGTCGATTGAATGGAAGAATATTGAAAATGTTGGTCTACAAGGCCGCGTAGGACACATTAAAAAAAAACTAAACTGCCTTCTCTTTTAGCAACGACAACAACCAAAACGATAAATACATATTAAATAATAATAAATAAATCAATAAATGACTGTGCTGGCTACCTTTACTCTCTCTATCTATCACACATGGCGCGTGCATTCAATCTCCCTAATAATTGGGGTACTTACAAATTTTTGTTCTTTGGGTGCGGAACAGAAGAAAGTCTTCCATGCGCCCGTCACATGAGTGGCTCTTATAAACTTTGTGTGGATCATCATCACCCAAGAAAAACAAAAGGAAAATATTTATTGATATATTACTTGGGTCTACACAAACTGAGATTTATGTTTTTCTCTATATTTAAAAACAAAGGCTTACTTCAATGAAAAAATTCATTGATTTGCAAATCAGTGGTTTTAGATTCAAACTCTCGTAACACCTTAATAGTGTGTGTGAAACCCCTTCTCTCCTTATAGTTAAGACTAGTCTCTTTGCACGCGTTTCTGCGTTTGCAAGAGGCTTTTTTAAAAAAAAATTTAAATTTATTTTAGAATTTTAAAAAAATAATGAGTAGTTGTATTCCATAAAAATAGGATCCATTATCTGATTTTTCTTTTATTTTTAATTTTTTTTAATATGAAAAAGTGTGAATTTACCATATTATCCTCATTTAATTAATAATTTCAATTCTTAATGTTTGAATTAACCAAGGGCATTTTATGGTATTTTGAATGTTTCATCATTCTCTGCCTTTTGCTTTATATATATAGATTATCTCTCGCATTAAAAAAAAAATATACAAAGGCATGAATCATGTACGTAGAAAAAGGACAGAGGAAAAATAGGTATATTAGCCCACCATTTAGTACAAATTCTACTCAATTTGAGTTAACTAGTTCGATTTCACTTATACTTTAAATGTGAGGTTTAAATAAATAAAAAAAATTAAAAAAAAAAAACCCTACAAGTGATAGTCTAAACTAAAAGAGGGAAAGGGATTTCTCAAGGTGTCATGAGATTCAAATTTGAGATTATCAGTCTACATGTGAATGCCCTTTTGCATTGGGCTAAATCTCGTTGACTTTAAATGTAAGGATTTATTGAAACAACTGGATTCGATTTAGACTTGAATGCGAGTCATCATTGAGATAAAATTAAATTCGAGTCATAATATGAACAAACTCCATTTGACTTAGACTTTAACGTAAGTCAATTCATTCCCACTCTAATGTAAAAGTTAGGTCCAATTTTTATTTAATTCTAATTTATTTTCTTCCCTTTCTAGGATTTTTTTTGGTCTAGTTTCTTTTTCGTTTATTGAACAAGGGTAAATTTTGAGGTTTATGTGTCATGATTTTAATGGTGGGTGTTGTTAACGAGGGTCAATAGGCATGAAAGCACATTTTTGCCCATGCAAGTGAGACCCTTCAAAATGTTTACGAAATTGAGACGAAAATTTTCTTACTTCAACAAGACTCCGCCCTCCATTTACAGGCATCATCTCAGGATCCTTCGCCCAAAGGGCTTGGCACAGAGGGGAGTGGTTTCCAGAACAATGACTCTAATATCTAAATAGGATGGTTGCACGTCAACATTAATTTAGTACATGTTGTCTAGTTGTATGAGAGGAGAGGAGCACTTTGGGCCAAGGATAATAAACGGGAAATATTAAGACCCGTTTTATTTGTTTATATATATATATAAAGCAAAAGGCAGAGAATGATGAAACATTCAAAATACTAGAAAATGTCACATTAAGAATTGAAATTATTAATTAAATGAGAATAATATGGTAAATTAACAAATTTTCATATTAAAAAATTTTAAAATTTAAAATAACATTAGATAATATATCCTATTTTTATGGAACACAACTACTCATTTTTTTTTAAAAAATTCTAAAATAAAAATAGAAAGCCAATTGACACACGCGTGCCAAGGGGCTAGTACAGATTAGATTAGGACTTATCATATGAAAGAATTGCAAATGAACTTTAGAAAACAATCAACAAACCTATCTACAATTTCGACCAACCCCTTGTGCAAGGTATACTATTTTAGATAATGAGAAAATGGGAAATTTGAAAATGTAACCTTTTTTCTAACACGTAAAAGACTTTTAACCTTTTTTTTTCCTTTTCAAGATTTAGAAATATAGTAATTCGAGTTCTTCAAGCAATGCACAATCCTTTTCAAGGCTCGTTGAGCAGTGCTCAAACCCCCTCGAATGGTTAAAATTCTCAAAATCTAAAATTTGGGCTAAAAATCTTTGAACTGTCTAAATTTTGGTTACTTTTTAAAATAAATTTTAATTCATGTCTAAAAGTTTTATAATTGAGGCATAGCCAGCCACCATACTATTTCACAAATGGGTAATAATTTTCTGTTTTCTTGTGGGTACTCACGAAATAGTAAAATTGATATGATTGCTTTTGTTATTATTTTTCTAGTCCAAGTGACTAGGGAAGGGAAGTTTACACACAAATATTCATTAGGTGTCTGGGAATTTCGAATTTATACTCATATAACTGAAAATAAAAGAGTTAAATCAACTGTACTCTACCGCACCGACTGATGGTGTGTATTATTACGCATAGCCGCTATACTATTTGGAGGAATCATTGACCATGATTCATAGACGTGAGGACCAACCGACCATCTTTGGTCAAAACAAAAGGATCAAACTTAATTAACGAAGTGAATTATAGCTTCTCTATAGAAGAGATGAGGAGATTAGTGCTGAGAGGAATTTAGCTTCTCTACATCTACAATGGGAATCCAACAAAGTTGTGTGTCAGAATCAAAAAAGATTATAATCATTGATCTAAAAAAAAAACTCTACAATGGGAATCCAACGTAGTTGTGTAAATTATATGTAGACAAGAAGATGCACATTGAACATATTTTTCACGATTGTGAAACGATCTTTTATTTCAAGTATCTACTTTCTTGGGTTACACAAAAACTCTCAGAGTATGGAATAGGGACCCCAAAAAAAAAAAAACATGAAGATGCCAATATCTCTATTCTTTCTCAAGCCTTAATAAAAACTTATTTCAAACACATTATAGCATATTAAACTATCTCTTCAATTAATAATTTTGGAATACTAAAATAGGTGAACCACATCAGCTTGTTCACGTGTTATAATATAAATGGATATTGTTTTATACTATTCCCTAAAAGAGGGAAATATCAACTGTGTTATCCACTCATATTACAATAACATTCGTATAAGTTATACCGCATAATCGTATTCCAATACCATTCTATAATATCTCGTATTATCGCGTGTCAAGTATCAATACTAATCCACCTGTTAATTACCATGTTATGGACCTTACATGATAAGATTTAACCCAAACATTTAATTTCTCATACTTATTATGGTACATTAATTTGGCAGGTGTAATTATTTGGGCAGGTGTATATGGACATCTTTAATGGATAACAAAGACGTAGGAACTGGTGAGATAAAATTTCAATTCCCTCTAGAAAAGGGTAAAAAGGCCAAAAGCACATGTTCCGTCTTAATCATTGCTGCCATCTTTATTAGCCCAACCCATGCATGACGACAGCTCTTGTTTTCTTTATGACGTCATAAGCCCGGTGAAATCGTTGACTTTAAAAGGATTGAAGATTCGTCAAGAGTTTGCTGTGCATTCATAGAATGTAGCTTAGGAGATTGCTGCTCTGTTCAAACTTCAAAGCGGCGCGACTTAGGACTCGACCAAATAAAAGCCATTTTTATTCGGCGCAATGGCCACCACTTGGAAATTGCTCACTTTTTGTCTTTCCTTCCGAGGAAATTGCTCTTCGGGGTAGAAAGACAATAATTTCAATGCCCACTAATGGGACTAATGTCTTGGTCGTTGTTTTCGCGACTTAGGACTAGAAACACTGTAAGTGCTTTTTATTTATTTATTTATGTAATAAATGAGAGAAACTCTTGCATAAATGGGACTAATGTCTTGTTCATTGTTTTGGCGACTCAGGACTAGAAATACTCCAAGTGCTTTTTCTTTGATAAATGAGAGAAACTCTTGCATAAATAGGACTAATGTTTCGGTCGTTGTTTAGCAAACTTTAAAATGTTAGGATTGAACTTATTAAATTGGATGCCAACGAGGTCTCTAGTCTAGTAAAAAATGACACTTGCACTAGCTCCTCTCAAATGTTATTGTATATAAAATTTATATTAATGATCTTGTACAAATATATTATAAATTTCTTACATGCGCCCTCTTATTTTTGTTTCTCTTTCAATCTCATGTCTAAATTTCTTTTGAATTGCATGAATTTTATTACTATAGAAGAGTGTTAGGTTCTACATAGAAAAAGTAAATAAATAAATAAACCCATTGACGTTGAAAACTCTCTCTCTGTGTTCATAGAGAGTGAAGTGTACTTATTGTGGGAGTGAATCCTAAGATTCGATTTGTATGTTGCTTCATCAGCCGCTACAAGCCTGCGGTTTTCTTTGAAAAAACTGCAACAAACCCTATGAATTGTCAAACTCATTCCCCACAACATCGTACCAACATGTTATGGCCATGCAATGCTAGAAAAAAATAACCCACGAATAATTATTATATTTTATTTATCAATGGATTGAGAGATTCAAACTAGAAAGAAGCAGCGTTAGATCAAGAGATAATTAATAGAAAACTCACGAATTTGAATTTGCCTATCTCTCGGCGGAAAAAGTTTATAAAACTAGCATTCGAATTAAATGTTCCCACTCGGGTCATTATAATGAAAATAATTGTGTCAAGTACTATAGTTTGGAGTCTATGGAGAAATTATTTTTTGGGGTTTCTCTTTCTTTTTGTTCACATGCATGGAGATTTGAATCATCCTACCATTTGAG